ACCTGGAAATTATGTTGGCATATGCTCCTGAAGATGCGCAATCACAAGAAACATCTGTAGAGCAGACTGATATGCCAGAAGCCCGGCCGCCACTCTTATATTAGATTGGTGATATCAGCGGTGGACATTTTTTTATGATTTTATTGTTTTATTTTGATATATGAGATCTGAGTCACCAATAAATACTGCACTATAAGTATTTTCTTTATTGCTGGTGGTTCTATCTGGATGAGTGGGCCATATTTTATGAATTCATGAGATTCAGTACTGAAAAAAAAGAGATGACTGGGCAGATCGTATCAGATATGGAGTGAAAAGAGTGCCAAGTTCCTAGAGGAAGCGACACTACAGTACTGAGCATATTTTGCTGTTCTACATTTCTAGACAGCAATATGTTTTGGTGAGTGTATATTTCCACTTAAGGTGGAGGCACAACACTGTGGATAACAATATGTGGTGAAGGACTGGCTACAAGTTATCCTGAAGCTCACTTTATTATTGGACTTTTTGATCGTTAATGTATACAGACACTTTTATCATTTGCACGGGTGTAATTACTTTTATATTGAAGCTCTGCATTTCTATGTATATGTTTATTTAGGTTTTTCTGTATATCTACACCTAATGCACACAGCTTTATTACATCACAGAGCACAGGCACACTTTTAGAGATTAATATACAGGCACTTAAGTGGTTCCAAAGTTCCAAAAATGTTATACAACAGTAAACCTTTCATCAAACCTCAAAAATGTTGCATTTGTTATTTTATAAAGCTAGTATAAAGAAAGCAAAAGTTGAAAAAAAAAACTTAAGTTCCAGAAATATTATACAACAGTAAACCTTTCATCAAACCTCAAATTTCATTTTAATTTTTCATAGTCAGTAAAACCGACAGCATGACAGTAATGTATCAGACACAATACTGTGTGCTTTTGTCCCTCTATCTTATTTCAGAAAGCTGGAAATTATGTTCTTGTCATTTTACAGTAATTATCAATCCATAGATACCTAAAGGGAACATGTGATTTGCCCTAGTTCATGGCCACCTTCTGCAAATACAGACACTTACCTTTCCTAGGAATCATGTGAACCACTCCCCTTCTTTCATGTGACAGCACTGGGTTTGTTTGACCGTACACTGTTGAACAGAGGAGTCAGCCTTGAGTAATATACACTTGGGATCCCTATGGAAGATGCATTTGCCAAAGTCCACTCCAAAACTGCAACAACCAGAGTTTTTGTAACAATGCACCACTCTAAGATATACACACAAAAAAGGCTCAATGTATTATTATTATTATTATTATTATACAGGATTTATATAGCGCCAACAGTTTGCTCAGCGCTTTACATTATAGTGGGAGACAATACAGTAACAATACAGTTCAATACAAGAGGGATTTGAGGGCTCTGCTCCTTGGAGCTTACAATCTAGGAGGGAGGGCTGAATGGTACAATAGGTAATAACTGTGGGGGATGGAGTGGTTGGAAGAGTAGAGGATTCCAGTACTAGCAGAGGGCGGGATAGGTGTCCCTGAAGAGATAGGTTTTTAGTGATTGCCTAAAGGTAAGTAGAGTAGGTGATAGTCTGATAGATTGGGGTAGGGAGTTCCAGAGGATGGGTGATGCCCTGGAGAAGTCTTGGAGATGAGCATGGGAGGAGGAGATAAGGGAGCTAGAGAGCAGGAGGTCTTGCAAGGAGCGGAGTGTATGGTTTGGGTGATATATAGAGATAAGATCGGTTATGTAATTTGGGGCAGTGTTGTGGACGGCTTTATATGTCATTGTTAGTGTTTTGAATTTTATCTGTTGGGCAACTAGGAGCCAGTGGAGGGATTGGCAGAGAGGGGTGGCAGATACAGAACGGTTAGTGAGGTGGATGAGTCTGGCAGCAGCGTTCATGATAGACTGGAGGGGGAATAGCCTGCGATGAGGTAGGCCAATGAGGAGGGAGTTACAATAGTCGAGGTGTGATATGACAAGGGAGTGGATGAGTTGCTTAGTGGTTTCCGGGTTAGGAACGGTCGTATCTTGGAGATAATGCGGAGGTGAGTCTACATGAATGTGTCAGCGATTGGATCTGGGGCTGGAAGGACAGATGGGAGTCTAGGATTACACCTTTTACCCTGGCATGAGGGGATGGACTGAGGATGGTGTTATCAATATTTATGGTGAAGTCAGTGGGGGTGGTGCGGGTAGGGGGAATACTAGGAGCTCAGTTTTGAAAAGGCTGAGTTTGAGGAAGTGGAGTGACATCCAAGCCGATATGTCACTTAGTAGGCTAGCGATGCTGGTGGAGACTGAAGGGGTGAGGTGAGGGGTAGACAGATAAATGTATTATATACAAACGTATTCATGCATATTAATTGATTAGAAACCTTGGTTCTGCTGCAATCATTTTGATCCGATACCAGTTTTTGGGTTTTTTTTAGAAACGCAAATGCATTCACTGTACATAATACCAACCTTAGGGCCATATTTAGAAAGCATACGCAAATGAAGGTATACTTGCCGGCCTCAGTTTGTCCACCATCCCTCGCTACGTTTGTAGGATTTACTTCTTAACAGCAAATTTACCATAGGATAAATGTAAATTAAGGGATTAAAATTGTTTGTAAATGTGAGGCAAACGAGCAGTTCTAATCTTCATACGTATTCATGGGTTTGTAGCATCTTCCTCTATATAAATATAGTTCATATTACTGAAACTAGTATTTTACAAGGAAAGAAGAGGAAGTTCAGAAAATGATGAGAATGATAATGGAAATCGTGTTTTTTTAAATCAGGTGTACAAATGTGTGGTGCTGCTCAGATGATTCTGAGATCTAGACCCTTTATAATTAGTCTTCTTATATATTTATTAATATATATTTAAAGTGGTTTTAAAGCCTTAAAGTGTTTTACCTTCAGGCATTCTATGCCTGAAGGTGAAAAACCTTCAGTATGCAGCCCCACACTTACCCTAGGTTCACTCCTAAGTGTTTTTCCGCAATGTTTTGCGTTTTGCAGAAATGCACTACAGTCCATTTAACATGATTTCCTATGGGACACATTCATATCTCTGCGTTTTCACCCAGTGCGTTTTTTGGAAAGGGTCAGGGACTTTTTTTAACTCAAAAAAGTTGCATTTTTGGTTCTATAGACTTCAATGGAAAAGCTGCAGAAAAGCATGTAGTGCATTTTTGTTGCGTTTTTGCCATGTTTTTGATGCATTTTGCGTTTTAAATCTGTCTAGCAACAATAAATAAATAAAAATGCAAAACACGGCAAAAACGCAGGTGCAAAATTCAGAACGCAATGCAGAAACAAGTCAACCGCTCTGTGTGTCTCATAGGAGCTTGCTCTGGGAGCACTCAGCAGGAGAGAGGGGCATGGAGCACAAGCGGGGGACTAGAGAAGAGGAGGATTGGGGCTGCTCTGTGCAAAACCATTACAAAGAGCAGGTAAGTATGAAATGTTGGTTATTTAAAAAAAAAAATCGGAACCTTTACAATCAATTTAAATGTTTGATTTTTTTTAAGCAAATTGCATACCCATGTGTAAAAGAAAGATTTAAAGGAAATGCAAAGGAACATATTTAACATTGAAAAATGCCCACTATTTCTTTACTCTTTTTGGCAGCTTAAATGAGAGATGCCAGCGAATATGAATATAAAAGAAAGGGCTTCCGATTGGAGGTGTTCACACCAGTGTGTTACTGAGGTGCGCTGCTATATGCTGAAGAAAAAGTATGCTCTACTTTTTTCAGCATCACGCAGTGCAGCACATGTACTGTAAACCACATATAAACATACCACAATGCCATTGTTTACATGGGACACAACATCAGCACAGCAGAAGTTTGGCAATTCAGCTGTGTATTTGTCCCGGGCAAGTTCTACGAATTGATGAGAGAGCCTGCTACTGGTTTTGTACTGCACAATGTGCAGGTGAATGGCAAGCATGGCATCAAGAAAGTAGCTGGATGTGAATGCTTTAATAACCCTTGCATAGGATCACTCCAAATTGTATGATACACAGAATCATTTATATATGGACAACAGGAGGAAGACTCAAATCTAGTAGCAAATAGCTGCCCAGCTGGACCCAGACTTGGAAAACCTTACCAAGAGTAATCAAGCTGCTACCTGTGAGTAAACATATGATTATTTCTTCACTTTAGGTGCAAGCCACACCCTGTGATATAATAAAAAAGAATAAATAAGACCAAAAAATACATTTGCCATAGAAATGCTTTTTAGTAAACAACAGATCATGGTACAACATAATCCAAAATCCTAACACAATACAAAATAATTATTGTAGGCAACAATGCAAATGATTTTCAGAAATGCAGTACTATGAGGCAAAACTTTCCTGCCATGTAATCTGCCCAACAGGTGATATAAAATATTCAGCCATCTGATCAAGAATCTTATGTGGCTAGTGTGGCAACACTCCATTCAATATGGTCAAGGTTATGGTTTAGGGCAGGGGTCCTCAAACTTTTTAAACAGGGGGCCAGTTCACTGTCCCTCAGACCGTTGGAGGGCGGGACTATAGTTTAAAAAAAAAAAACTATGAACAAATGCGGACACAGTACAGGAGATGACCAGAGACTGTGGACACAGTACAGGAGATGACCAGAGACTGTGGACACAGTACAGGAGATGACCAGAGACTGTGGACACAGTACAGGAGATGACCAGAGACTGTGGACACAGTACAGGAGATGACCAGAGACTGTGGACACAGTACAGGAGATGACCAGAGACTGCGGACATACTACAGGAGATGACCAGAGACTGCGGACACAGTACAGGAGATGATCAGAGACTGCGGACACAGTACAGGAGATGACCAGAGACTGCGGACACAGTACAGGAGATGACCGGAGACTGCAGACATACTACAGGAGATGACCGGAGACTGCGGACACAGTACAGGAGATGACCAGAGACTGCGGACATAGTACATGAGATGACCAGAGACTGCGGACACAGTACAGGAGATGACCAGAGCCTGCGGACACAGTACAGGAGATGACCAGAGCCTGCGGACACAGTACAGGAGATGACCAGAGACTGCGGACACAGTACAGGAGATGACCAGAGACTGCGGACACAGTACAGGAGATGACCAGAGACTGCGGACACAGTACACGAGATGACCAGAGACTGCGGACACAGTAAAGGAGATGGCCAGAGACTGCGGACATACAATGGCGGCGGGAATACTGGGCCGGCCGCTCCATAAGATGCACAGACATTTCCCCCCAAGTGTATCTTATGGAGTGAAATATACGGTAAATGCAGGACACCTTGTTGGGTCAGATTTGTGTACAATGTAAAGAGAGATAGGGGGAGAGATAAGGAGGGGGGAGAGAGAGATAGAGAGAGAGAGATAGGGGGAGAGATAAGGAGGGGAGAGAGAGAGAGGGGGGGGGGGGAGAGAGAGGAGGGGGGGGTAGAGAGAGAGGGGGGGAAGAGAGAGAGGAGGGGGGGTAGAGAGAGAGGGGGGAAGAGAGAGAGAGGAGGGGGGGAGACGAGGGGGGAGGGAGGGAGAGAGGAGGGGGAAGGGGGAGAGAGGGGGGAGGTGGAGAAAGAGGAGGGGGAGAGAGAGGAAGGGGGAAGGGGGGGAGAGGAGGGGGAGAGAGAGGAAGGGGGAAGGGGGGGAGAGGAGGGGGAGAGAGGGGAGAGGGGGAAGGGGGGGAGAGGAGGGGGAAGGGGGGGAGGAGAGAGAGGAGGGAGGAGAGGGAGAGAGAGAGGAGGGGGGAGAGGGAGAGAAAGGAGGGGGGGGAGAGGAATGGGGGAGAGAGAGAGGAGGGGGGAGAGAGGAAGGGGGGGAGAGAGGAGGGGGGGAGAGAGAGAGGAGAGAGATTGGGGGGAAAGAGAGAGAGGGCGAGGAGATCGATCATCTATTGCGCTTATCTAGGGTCCGTGGCCGTGATACCCGACAGGCAGCAATGGAGTATCCTCTCTTGCTCCCCCTCTTCATGGTCAGCTCTAGGCTCCGCCCTCCGGCCGTAACGGTTGCATGCACTGATTAGAATAGATGGCCGGCTGGCTGCAGAGAGGCCAGGTGAGTGGTGCGGGTTCATAAGCCGAGCCCACCTTCCCCTGTTCTAGAATTGCTGATCCCGCCCTCCTGCCTCCCACCCGAGCCCTGCCAAGCTCTCCCGACCTGCCAAACCCTAGTCCCTTGCCTCGCGGCAGATACGCCCCTGCCCGGTGGGCCAGATAAATGTCCTCGGCGGGCCGCATGTGGCTCGCGGGCCGTAGTTTGAGGACCCATGGTTTAGGGTCTCATCATCAAAGTTATAGTCATCCCTCTCCCTCACATAGTTGTGGAGCTTACAGGTGGTCTTTATGACATTTGTCACATACTGTGTGGGAACTTGCATGGCTGTGTGTAGTGTACGCCATTTGTTTGCTAGAATACCAAACATGCACTCAGCCATTCTGCGTGCATGAGTGAGGCGTTAAATATTCGCCTTGCAGGTGTTAGATTATAGCCGCATAAGATGTTCTCCTAGACAAAATGCCTCATTGTCCACAAAATCAAATGGGTAAGCTGGCTGAGTGGCTCCAGCCTATGGTCTATTTGGTGGAATATCTAGTTGCTTATCAAGCAATCTCTCAGTAAGTGTTGATTTCTTAAAGCTGCTGAGTCACCACTGCTTCCAAAAGCCAGAATATCAATCTAAGTGAAGTGGTAATCAGCATCTACAACTGCTACAAGGACCGCAAAAAAAAAGGCTTTTTTGATTTGCAAAAGCTTCCCATCAATTGCACCAAGAAAAATTAGGGAAATTGCATCATGACCAAAATAATTCCGCAATATCCTTTCATATTGCCACTGTTCGCTTCCTGCTGATGTCACTTGACGAAATGTACGTCAAGGCGTAACTTCCAGTCACGTCACTTCCAGTCCCGGACATCTAGTAATTGGAATGCATGACGGCTCTAGGACATGAGTGGAGTGGTAGCATTCCCTTTGGCAATACTACAAGTGATATTTACTGTGCCTATGAAGCACTTTTAAAATGAGCCAAATTTTACCTGCCTGTCTACATTGGTTTTAATAAATATACTGCACTATATTAGCCTTTTCTTTGGTTTCTATGGTGGAGTGGAGAAGCCACAATAGGATAAAGATTTCCTACCTTAGTGCAGTAGGCGGAGTATCATAAAGCAAACAAGCGCATGATGACCTTATTTATTAAAGAGGTCATTTTGGTCTGACACTACAGTGCCAAGGCAAACCACAAGCAGTCCAGTGGCTTCCAGTGCTTTGACAAACTCCATTTTTCAATGACCCTTAGGAAGGAAGTGCCCTGTCACAGTTTGGTGGATAAGCATAAAAAATGACCTACTTTGGTATTACATTAGAACTCTCCGCCAAGGTCCAGTGGGTCCATCATGTCTGGTTGTTGGTGTTGCTCAGTTGTTTTTATTTTATTTGTCATTATCACTGAATGTTTCTAGAGGGTTCATTCAACAGATGCTAATCTAACGATTGGCTTCCATTGAGGTCTACACACATATTAAAATTTGCTCGGTCCCTGACAACCTGGACAATTTTCACTCCATGTGTACTCAGCTTTAACAAACCAGACGATATTCATTCTGTGTTGGGGCAGCATTACAAAATTAAAAAAAATAACATATAAAGTATTAGAAACTTGCCAGAGATAAAGTATTAGAAACTTAAAGGAGAAGTACAGCCAGAGCATGTGGATCACAGGAGTGCAGTTGGTTCTGCAGTCCTGTGACCCATTTTCAGCTGACAGTAGGTTAAAGTTTGCTGTCGGCTGATGTCACTCAGCTGGTCCAGGCTGGAGAAAGTTCCTGACCATATTGGCGGGATCCACTCAGGAGCCTGTACTGGCACCTGGCTCAGCCTCTCAGTGATCCGCTGAGAACCTGAGCCAGCAGCTCCCTCTCTCCACAACCCAGCACTCCAGTGAGCACTGGGGAGGGCAGAGCGGACAGTGGTGACTGACAATCACCACTCTCTGTTCTGAGCAGCAAAGAGGACTGAGCAATCAGTGGTGTCTGATTGTTCATTTCTCACCCTTAGAGCCAGCGGGGGACAGATGTTCTCTTTTAACAGAGTGTTAGCAGAAGACGTTCAATGGGTGACAGAGCCCTCCTGTAATTTGTGTCCTGCAACTGTAGACCAGGCGTCAGAATTTGAAGAAGACTGTAAAAACCTGTCATGAAAAGGAGGTAGTTAATGATAAAGAATTGATCAGTATGGATCATGCACACACACCATATTGCATGATATATGCTATATGAAATTACGTTGATATTACTGCTATCAAAATATTTTGCAAACATCATCTTACCTTTCAACTGACATGTAGGTATATTCATAAACCTTTTCTTGATGTGATTGCAGATCATGGTATAAGCCCTTCTATTTTCTCTCTATCAAAGAATGATGCACCAATTAATACCACCTCTGATGTCTACGTCATAGGATGGCAATAATTATGACTGGAATTATGTTTATCAGAGGTGACATTGCTGCCAAACAAATGAGCTTATGCACTGGGCATGCAGTTACAGACACCAAGAAGCAGGAGGTGACCTCCTGGAAAATGTCTTCAAAAGTTTCCTGTGAAGATTATTGATAATTGAAAAAAAAAGTAACACAATGCAATACAACGAGATAGGCAAGTACGATCAACGCACCTCCATGTGTTTGAGTGCTGATGGCTAGAGTGCGATGTGAATAGCTTTTATTTGAACCTAAATTCTGTTTTTTACTGTTTGTATGTTCCAGCTAATATCTGTTGTAGTAATGTGGTTTAGAAATCAAACTGAATAAGTGAGAGAGTGAAGAGTTTCTGCTTTATAGATGCTACATGGAGAGTAAACTTTAGAAACACATACTCACATATTGAATTGTTACAGTAATGTAGATGACTCAAGAGTTTCCCTTGATCTAGTTTTTGCCACTTATGCATTGTCTTCTTTTAAAACCCTATTTATCTCTGATGTGCTTTATGTTCTTTTTAACCTTCACATCCCTTTCCACTTTCATTAAAGGGTCTTGACATTTTAAATACAATACAGATTAATCCTCCAAATTTTTCAAAAGAAGAAATTGTACAAGAATACATTCCACCTTTTCATTTTTATTTTTTTAGATATAATATGTCATTTCTAACAATAAATTCCTTTGTTCCAAGAGCAAGCTGCTTGAAATATTTATTCAATTCCCTATACTGTATACCTTTTCTTCATTATTTTCATAATTCAACTGTAAATTCCTTCTTAAGCAGAGAGGTATCAAATCCTCTGGGAGTGCACTTTTTATACCTATATTATGCTCAAATGATATTGATTGAGTATAATTATGCTATGGGGTTTTATCAAGTATAATAACTTGGTTTGTAAAAAGTGAACTTGACCAAAGTTTGCTGCTTTAGTTTTAGCCCACAGCTACCAGCTCCAATGTGTGCTGCAAAACTGAAATGATTTGTGTTTGTCTAGCTGACATTAACTTCTCTATTTCTACTGAATTACAGTGGACCTAAGTTATCAGAAGGACCTTTATCCTTAACAATCTGTTATGCAAGCTAAATTGTAAACTGCATTAAACACCTAACAAAAGCTTAGTCTAACTGTGGGTTCTATCCATGGCCTAGAAGCAGTAACATAAGCACCAGTCAATGGTTCTGCTTTAATACAATTTCTGATTAATCTCAGTGCTTACATGATCCTCCAGTCAAAATCAACAACTGGACTGAGGCAAAATCAAGGAAGTAATAAAACCTGATTGCTTAAATTTTACATATTAGCAGGGATTGTTAAAAAGGAACTTACTCTACCTAAAATGAAATTCTTTCTGTCTCGTAACTGTCCCTAAATGAGAATAAAAAAGCAAACTTACTAGTCTATAGAGTCCAACATTGTCTAATTTGCAGCTGAGGTGTACCTTGTGCTGTTCTACTCCATGCAGCCATTTTGGGACTCCTCTCGGTCAAGACTTGCTTGTATGCATCTGCTGCTAGATTTCATGCATGCACAATAATTTTGGATCTGACTAGGACCTGCATTATGTCTGTGCATGTGCAAGTAGAGAGAAATAAAGAAAGAAAGAAAGAAAGAAAGAAAGAAAGAAAGAAAGAATTACGTCAATGCACAGATAAGTTGTGGTTCTTGGTCAGGTTCAAAATACCTGGAAGGTGTGTCATGGCATGTCTGCACATACGCCAAATCTTGTGGCACACATGTCATACTCACTAAAACATTACCTTTTGAGATGTGTGATGTGGACATTGTAAGATACAGTAGGGGCAATCCTATGTCATCCTCGTCTAGGTGAGAAGCCAGAAAGTGGTGGGCAGCACCACTCAAAAAGGTATTTAAAAAAAAGAAATTCAACAATCCTTGGGTTGGGGAAAAGGTCCTTTTGCAGGTCCATATAAAAAAGGGTGCAAGTAAGACTTTAAGGTATCCTCTTGTGTGATAGATGACTTTCTATTATACTGCATGCAAGGTCAGAAAAAAAATTATAGTATACACAAAATTAAAACTTTTAGTAAAAGCATTGTTCTAATGATTATCACATTTTAACTAAATGTATACATCTACCAGACAGCAAGTTTAAAAAAGTTCCCCAGGACTATCGCAGATCTTGTATAAAAGATCTCAAGCAGAAAGATCCAGGGTCCTATGGAAGATGAGCATGCAGTAGAAGGTGAGCATCAAGGTCCAGATTAGATTGAAAGGACAGCAGCAAAGAAGTCAGCAGGAGAGCTTACAAACAAAGCATGCAGAAAGAAAACCCAATTACAAGCCAACCATGCTGCACAGGGCCACCAGGTGTTTGACTAGAAACCCTTCCAGTGGGTCCCCCTAACATGATCCTAGAAGATAATGTTAACTACCAATTTGAAGCAGAAAGTTAGTCTGTTAGGTTAAAGAGTTAACTCCACTGATCTCTTTATAAGCAGAGAGACGATGTGGCACAGCCTTTGGGGTGCTCAAGTAACTCGTTCCAAAGCTGGGATGGATCAAATCTCGGCCTGTTCAGCAGGGACCGGGTGACATTTAATCCATGTATGGGCAGGCTGGTTGTAGTGAAGTTGATCCATTGACCAAGTTCAGTACAGCGAGTCTGTCAGATTATTTTTGTATGAGATTACTGATGGCAGCTATAGCCACCAGCAGTGATCACTGTATTCTCCTGGCAAAACACAATAGCTCAGTGGGAGGCATTCCATCATCAAAACCGACTGTGTTGATTTGGGACTCAAGCTATTTTATTTCCTTCCATTCGTGGTGGAAAGAAAGACAGTCATATCATCTATGGCCTGCTTAAATTGACACTAAAGCTTAATTTATTTATTTTTTAATAACAAACATGTCTATACTTTTCTATACCTTCTCTGTGCAGTGATTTTGCACAGAGCAGCCCCAATCCTCTTCTTTTCAAGTCCCCACCAGCTCTCCTAGCTCCTCCCCCTTGAGCAGTGCCCCCAGGGAAAGCCGCTCGCCCTGGGGGCACTGCTGCATGCTCATCCCTGTATAGGCACATAGAGCCGAGGCTTGGCCCCAACCCCTTGCTCTCTCCTCATTGGCTCACTGGCTGTGATTGACAGCAGATGGAACCAATGGGCTCCAACAGCTGTCTCAGCCAATGAGGAGGAAGAGTCCCCAGGCAGTGGAGGCTGTCGAGAATGTCGCTGGATCGGAGGGGACTCAGGTAAGTATTGAGGGGGGCTGGGGGGACCACTGCACACAGAAGGTTTTTTTTACCTTCATGCTTAAAATACATGAAGGTAAAAAACCTTGAGCTTTTAGAACCACTTTAAATAAAGGATGTGTGAGTCAAGTAAAAGCGGAATCTCTTGATACTGACAACATTTACAAGCAAAGTTTAAATAAATAAAATGCTCACCACCAGTTAAACCACTTTCCCACCGCCTCCTATAGCAGAATACCACTACAGGGCAGCAGGGGTGCGCAAAATAATGTGTGCATATATATATACATATATGATTTTGCATTTCTGGGTGGGGGTGCACGTGGGCCAAAGCCTCAGCTGTCAATCACCGGATCCCGGCCGGTGATTATTCACCGGCACCCTGTGATCGCCGAGTATTACCGACAGGGAAGAGATCTATATGTAAACAATACAGTTCTCCCTCCTGTCAGCTCAAAGCCATACAAAGCAGTGTGCTTACATAGTAAAGCACAGCACACAGTAAAAACAGCATACAGTTCACCTTTTGATTGCCCCACAAGTTAACCCCTTTCTGCCCAGTGCCATTAGTACAGTGTCAGTGCTTTTTATTAGCACTGATCACTGTATTGGTGTCACTGGGGATGTCAGTGGCATCAAGTCAGTTCCCCCAGTGTCAGAATTCCTGCCGCAGTCCCACAGTCCCGCTATAGGTCGCTGATTGCCACCATTACTAGTATAAAAAAAAAATCCAGTATATATACCGCCATTTGTAAATGCTATAACATTCACGTAAACCAATTAATTTACACGTATTGGGATTTTTTTTAGCAAAGACATGTAGCAGACTACATTTTGCCCTAAATATATGACAAAAGTTTTTTTTTTTTTTTCTCTTTTATTGGACATGTTTAATAGCAAAAAGTCAAAAATGTTATTTTCTCAAAATTGTCTCAGCATTTTTTTTGTTTATAGCACAAAAAAATTAAACCACAAAGGCAATCAAATACCACCAAAAGAAAGCTCTATTTGTGGGAAAAAAGGGCGTAAATTTGCAGTGCAATTTTCAGTTAAAGTAACGCAGCGCCTTAACGCAAAAAATGGCCTGGTCAAGAAGGGGGGGAAATCCTCAGGAGGGCAAGTGGTTAAAAGAGAGCAGAAGGCAAAAAAGTAATAAATATGTAAAGTGAAAAGGGAAATAATTGTGTGTTTTTTTTTGCTTTTGGTCATACCAAATATAACAAACTAATGTTCTGTCCCAGAATTTTGGATTCCGAACAGACTACTAGCCATTACATAATGTGTATTGATCCAGGAGAAAACTGTTCCTTCAACAGTTAGAAAAATGACCCTCAAGTGAACAGGTCTAATATATAAATGATGGTTTTCAGTATATACAGTAGATACTGCACTGAAATAATAAAAAAAAAAAGAAACTGTGCATTACCTGACATTAGAAGATTTGGGTTTTTTTTTTGCTATCCTGATGGGGGGTATACCTTGAGGTTCATGTTTTCCTGAGTAAGTCAAGTTTTTTTTTTAACTTTTTGTACACTATGTTGCAACTTGAAATTTACTAGATATAAATGAAATACATATTTGTTCCACACTCTTCAAATAGTATATCCAATTACACACACCCAAATCCTGTGTTTGGTGTCATCATTTATGTTTTCAACCATGGTCAGAAGATTCAGTTCAGTGCCCCTATAATCCTATTTAACCTTTATAACAATGCAGTATTCATACATTTTCTAAGGAATAATAAGTAAAAGAGTTGTCTCTGTTCCCATTTTCCTCCAGGTCCATAGTGAGCATAGTACATGCACGTTATCAGAAATACCTAGTCTGTGCCCTGTTGAGCAGATAAAACAGCAGAATTTCATGGTGCTGTTGAAATGATCATATATTTATGGCTCATTATAAGAGTCTGATGTCCTACTGTTCTTTCTTTTTTTCTGGAAGCCAAGAGTGTAATAAATTATTCCTATTTGCGGTGCAATATATCATGTAGAGATGTAGGCACCTAGTACTGGAGTGGAAAATGGATCTGTTTAATTAATATTTCAACTTGCAACAATATTTTTTATAAAGTCCTTACAGTATTCGCAGCTGTATGTAGAAAGACAATGCTGACACTGGGATGCGAAGAGAACAAATGTGTCCCAAATCTGTATACTGGTATACAGTATGTTTATAGCATATGTCATCTATATAAATGCACAATCTGTTATGCTAGCATGGATAAGAATTTAAGAAAAGCCTTCACAGCAAAAACATAATGTTGGATTATTTATTAGGGTATGTGAGTGATTTATATTTGGTCTTATTTTCTTCTCGCAAATTGCAGATACAATACATACATGTAGTTATGTTTAATATTAGGGCAAGTAAATAGTTTGCTGACTAAGTACTGTATATTGAAAAGAGTACGACATGTGTAAGTCATTACCACCATTACAAGAAATATCTATTTGCATCTTCCTGGCATTTTAACCAAATTTGTAGTTCCAGGTTCCTTATCAGTTAGCACTACCACCTTGGGGAAGAGATGGGCTAATGACTGTCATGTGAAACATCTCAAGCTTTGCCTTACTCACCAGCAATCTATACACTGATGTCTATGGGGTGGTTGGTCTAAGGAGGTCTGAGTTGTGTTTTTGCCACTAGGCAATGCTGGATTATAATATAGAATACCTACAAATCTACCTCTGTCCCAGTCTGTATATTGAATCGGGACTCAGAGATCATCCGTTTCTCAAGTTATAATTTAAGCTAGCGTCCTCGGCGATGGCCGAGTGCCCTGCCCCATTAACAATGTGGTGGTATCTCTACGACATGTGAGCTCTTCTGACTTGCTCTATGTACTTGCTCCACAGACATCACTATGGCCCGTTGACTGTTTTTCTTCAGGGAAGTATGACTCTCTCAGTTTTGGGGGGCCGGGAGGGGGGTGGGGTGTTTTATGTTTTTTAGTCCTTTTTCTCTGTTGCAAGGTACATTTGATTTCTTCTGTGATTCAGTCTGTGTATGGTATCAAGCTATTATACTGGTTCTTCTGATGCCTATTTTACAGTTCTATGTTTTCTTCCAGGGGTTCACCCTGAATGGTCACAACTTTGTTTTCATATACTTATTTTATGGCTCCCCCTGGTTTGAAATGTATCTCCTGGAATGTGCGGGGCCTCAACTCCTCGGTCTTCCAGTTTCTCAAATCCTGTACTCCACATATTTGTATTTTGCAAGAAACCCACCTAACGGGACGTAGGGAACTGGGCCTAAAGAGTGTTTGGGTTGGTCACTATTATAATGCCACATTCTTTTCTTATGCTAGAGGTGTCAGTGTCCTTATACATAAATAAGTACAGTTCACTCCCCTCCATCTCAGGCTGGATCCCAAGGGTAAATACATTATGATTTATGCAAAGATCAACTGCTTTGAAATGGTAATTGTTCGGCTCTATTTTCCGCCTCCTGCTTCCGCGCGGTTGTTGCCTTGACCCCTCTCCTGGCCTCACATCCCACATTCCATGTTCTTCTTGCTGGTGATTTTAATCTTACTCCGGACCCTAGTGTTGACAAATTATACCCTGATGCCAGTGGGGAGTCGGAGTTGGCCAAGTGGGTGGGGCTTTACCAGTTCATGGATGTATGGAGGTGGAAAAATCCTAAGACCAGGGCCATACCTGTCACTCGGCATCACACAGAACAATGTCTAGAATTGATCTTTGTTATGTTACGCCTGCACTTTTAGCGAGGGTTCGGGAGATTTCTATCCTTCCAAGAGTGATTTCTGATCATGCTCTATTTCTTCTTCTCTTAAGTATTAATGATGCCCCGGGGGAAAATATCTGGAGGCTGTCTTGGTATTGGATTACTGATCCTGACGTAGAACCACCTATAGGCAAGGTACTGGAGCAATATTGGGACTCTATTGAGAATACTGCAGTGCCTACTACTATCTAGGAGGCATGTAAGGCTACCCTTAGAGGACAGTATTGGACCCTGATTGGGGGGCTACAGGTTAGATGGTGGCAGAAGTGGACTTGGTGGACCAGAGGGTGCAGGAAGCTGAATCCAATTATGTGCTCAGATCCTGTTATTCACCATGACTTACAACTAGCTACTAGGGAAGCTTTATTGTTACGCATGGAGGCCTCCAGGAAGGCGATGCTCCATCAAAAACAGTATATTTTTAACAGCGAGATAAAGCGGGCCGCCTATTGGCTTGGTTGGCTAGGGAACAATCTGCCCTATCCTATACTGCCCTTATACAGGCTGAGGACGGTTCCAGGATCCTTGATCCACTCTCAATCAACCGTTGTTTTGCCCACTATTACATGAGTTTATTCTCCTCCAAAGCTGCCTTCATGCCACAGGATTTGTCCCGTTATTTGGATCATGTTGACCTGCTGTCTCTCTCCCTGGTCCAGAAGGAGTAGTTGGAGGCACCGATTTCCTTGGAGGAGATACAGCAGGCAATTGGTGCTCTCCAATCTGGCAAAATGCCAGGTCAGGATGGATTCCTAATTGAATTCTATAAAATATACATTGAACAAATGGCTCCCCACTTTCAAACACTTTTTAACGCACTACTTAAGACAGGAACATTGCCCTCTGATATGCTCCAAACAGTGATAGTGGTGATTTTGAAGCTAGGGAAGGATCTGACCCACTGCTCCTCCTATCGGTCGATCTCCCTGTTGAACACTGATGCGAAAATACTCGCTAAGGTGCTTGTACTCGATTATCTCTACGGTGGTACACCATGACCAGGCAGGTTTTATGCTGAGTAAGGGCACTGACATCAACATACGGAGACTGTTCACCCACATTTCTGTGGCTCGTGACAGCGACGACCCTGGAGTGGTACTGTCCCTGGATGCTGAAAAGGCCTTTGATTCAGTCGAGTAGGAATATCTATGGGAGACTCAGTGATGCTTCGGATTTGGCACCAATTTAATTTTTTGGATCAAATGCTTATAGTGCACCACTTGCAAGAGTACGTACTAATAACATCCTTTTCCCCTTTTGCTCTTCATAGGGGCACTCGGCATGGCTGTCCACTTTTCCCAGGCCTGTTTGCCCTGGCAATCGAGCCTTTGGTCTGCCTGATCCGCTCTTCCAATTCCTTGCATGAGCTATTGGGGGATGACTGGGAGAATAGAGTATGCGGACTACACTCTCTTATATTTTAAGGACTGTAATTCATCTCTTAGAGCGGCGCTGAGTCTTATCAATCGCTTCGGTAGATACTCCGGTATATGCATAAATTGGGAGAAGTCAATATTGTTTCCTCTTGCTCCGGGACCCTTGCCTGACATTTCCTTTGCCCCTATTAGATCAGTCTCTCAATTTAAATCCTTGGTGCAGCGTGACTTGATGAAGCACCTAGCATACAATCTTCACCCCTCCTACAGCAGTTGCAGACTAAATGTAGTCCATAGCATTCCCTTCCTATTAGCACCATAGGCCGGGTAATCTTTTTAAAATGATATTTCTACCTACGTTTATCTATATTTTTCAGCATACGCCAGTACAAATCCCGCAATCCTTTTTCCGTCGCATGGATGGTGTTGTCTCTGTGCTTATTTGGGCTGGAAGGAACCCTAGACTTTCCCGATCTAATCTGCACTTACCTATTAATTGTGGCAGCCTGGCATTTCTTAAACTGCTTTTATATTACTAGGCAGCTGTTCT